CATCACAAAATATTTAGCCAGCATCATCAGTGAGGTACCACCGTAAGCAGTCACAACTTATCAGTGACAAGTGAAGACCAATTTTCTGTTCGACCGTCGTAGCATACTGTTCCCCTATTTTTTGTTTTATATTCTCTTTCCCTCAATCCCACTTCGTATGACCCATCAACTTAGTAACACAATTCTGTGGTCTCGTTTCCTACACTGTTTCCTAAGGGGTCGCTAGAATTGGGTTTAGTGAAGCGTAATCATCTCACCACCGGTACCAGGTGCCGTTTGCAGGGCGCCTGACCTACATTCTTCCCTCCTTTTTTCCCTACCCCGCTTGCCAATTGCTGATGCTACACCTTAAAATCAGTGCTTGGCTGTCTAAAATCTGGCTACCTAAGAGCCTTCCATTCCCGTCCTCGATTGCGCCATATTCGAGGATTTAGAGCAGAGGATGCCCATGTCAATGCGCATGCACATATCAGTGCCTGAACATCTTCCTCTCCATAGGCTTCAAACCTGACTCCATTATCTTCTCCCTCAGCCACACCCACATTGTCTCATTATTTGGATCTCTATGTCACACAACACCTACGCGCACACACTGATGAGCTATATCTGGCCCACATACATTAAGCCTTTAATTTCATATCCTACATCTCACAGTTGAACCCAATAAGTAAATTTTTAGGCAATTGCACGTTTTGACTCCTCTCACTGCAGTCGCCTTTTCTTGACTTCCTTTTGTGCCTCATGAGCCGTTACTTGCTGAAGTCTCTTCCTTTTATTGAACAGTTATTCTGGATCAAAGCGTCTACTTTTTAATAACTGAAACACTCCATCTTCATGTTGTTTAGGCAAGCTGATAAAGAGGGCTGCCCTTTCTATCAGGATTGTACGAATATTCCAGTTTCCTAGTATTGGTCGTTGCTTCCGAACCAATTCGTGACATATCTATCGTTTTTAATCTGCTTGATTTCCTTTCATAATCTCCTACCTTCCATCTGTTCATCACCATCCATATGCTACGTTGAATTGCTTCTTCAGGATATCCGTTTTCAAGATATGTCTGAATTAGTTTTTCCAGTTCCTCTTCCCAGAATAAGTGAGTCGTAGGCCTCTTATGACTATACTTCGCAGTATTCCAATCTTCATCGCAAAGTATAGTTAGACTGGAAGTCAAGAGCCATTAAAGCATGCGATATATTTATAAATAGCCTTTTCTTGAGAATCTCCTATGAGCGAATGACATCATGTATCTAAGGACAGTAAGTGTACGTTTTCTTTCACATCTATGGTAAATTTGAGCTTTTAATCCATTTCATCGATGAAGATCAGAATATCGTCCAATTTTCCTCTTCTATGCGAGCAAATTACGAAATAGTCATCCAAATATCGCATAATTACTGTTGGTTGCTGAGGTGACATTTTGAATTTCTCCTCCAGTTTATCCATGAAGAAATTAGCTAGGAAGTAGAAGTGTTGAGCCCATAGGTAGACTAAATAGTTGTGGATAGATACGGTGGCGAAATCGGTCGTCCTTATTGTTAAGTTGATTAATCGGATTAAAGACTATCGACGCATTTGCTCTGTCTCCAGGATGCCAATTTATTTTTTCAAGATCTCCAGTAGTGCCGTGAGTGCGTCGTCTTCTGTGATCTTAGTATACATGGACTGTATATCAAAGCTCACCAAAATATCGTGAGTACATCGTTCATTTGTCTAAGGTGTAACAAAAATAGAGGCTGAACATAAAAGTGATCAAGGGGATTGCCTTCACTTATCACTTTGATCACTCTGTGCCTGGAAGATCTCGTAGGAAAAAATGGGAAAATTTCATGACTAATATATTTATTTATACTCTATTGGTAAAGGGCCGTAAAGTCATTTTTTTACAAAATAAAAATATACACAATCTTTCCAGTAAATATCTATATGTTCAAGAGCCGTAAATACAGATTAACTTACATCCAGGCAAAACTTGGCCACAGTCTTGTAAAGTAAGAGAGGTCAACGAATCTTCAGAGTCAACACGAACGGTACCATAGCTAAGGCTGTGAATAGAGATAACACCTCGTGCCAAAGCAGTAGTACCGAAGCCAGAGCTTGACGATTGAGAAACTTGTTGTTGTTGCTGCTGTATAAATTGCGGATTGGAATTAGTATTAGCCACTCTGGACTCAGAAGAGATAAAACCCGGATTCATGGGTGGGCGTCGTAGGCAGACAGTAAGAGTCTCTGAACGGCCTGCAGTTGGGCAAATAACATCAGGAGCGAGGCCGTAGGCACGGAACTTCTGCACAAAGGCATCACAAGAATTGAGCGACCCTAAGAGAAGTTTAAATTTGAAAAAAAATAATCAAAATATAATGTGAGATAGAGTGCAGGTAT